CCTCTTTGCTGTGTCTGTTGAAATAGGCATGATCCAAAATGCCATCATCTCCTCTGGTTTCACTTTGCCTTCTCTGTGGAAGCAACACACTGCTGGGAAACACAAGTCATTTCTGTGTGTACATTTTACATTTTTATCTTTCTTATAGAAAGCAATCATATAGTTACATTATAAGATTAATTCTTGAGATGATGGACAAATTAGTTGATTAATAAATTGTTAAATAAGTTAATAATGCACAGAAAACTGAGCAACACATAGTCACAAAATAGGAGCTTTCAGGAATAGTTACAGAACCTGATTTAATGAAGTTTCACAATGAAAATGCAAAATGACATCAAAATCTCTTACAAAATTATAAAATGTTGACATACATCTAAACATTAAATCTGAGTATAAGTAATGAAAACATTTCCACCTACTGGTGGTGGTGGTGGTGGTGGTGTGTGTGTCCATTATCAGATATTTTGAAAATAATATATGTTTATGATATGATTGTATGGTCATCAGAATTAGAGGAAAAATGTCAACAGAAAAGAATTTTACAGTGTAAAACACTAAACATTAAACTGTTTTGTATCTCTCTGATAAGAGTTGTGCTATGCATTACATATATATTTGAGCAATGGCAACTATGATAAGAATAAACAGTGAAAACCTCCACAACTAAAAGGTCATGTGACTTAGAATCAAGCCTGGGAGGGCAATGAAGTGTATATAAAAAATTCAATAAAAATGTGACTTTTATAGTAAGAATAAAAAGAAAGTTAAATATATCACTCAAATGAGTTCGCTGATTCCTATAATAAATCCAAAGTGAAATACAAATTTGCCATGACAATTAGTGCATAACCTCTAGGCAATTCATTAAGTATTCAGATGCTTTAGAGATAGTCAACAAATGGTTTAAAACTCCACAGGGAAAATCTCTGAAATTAGAAAAAAATTCCATAAATTGTTAAAAAATGAAATATTAAGAAACACACGGGGGAATAAGGGGATATGTTTCATTGCAAGTAACAAAGACAGACGTTTTGTGAGTTATACTGTGTTACTTCTATACACAAGATTGGCCCTATGTGCTCTGGCTTTGACACCTAAAGTAAGAGCTCATCTCTCATTCACTTTCTGTGACTTCTACTGCACCATGATGTCTGGACAGTAGTAGGTTCTCCCGTACTTTCTTCATATTTACTCTGGAATATTTTCGTCAAAGTTTAGAGATTAAATGTTCATACGTGATTGAAATATTAAATTGTATGTTTGTGTTTAGAGAATATAATTTATGCATATAATTTTATCCAACAGGTTCACAAAGAAAGTGGGAATGAAAGATAAATATGTTAGTACATTTGGTAGTACCTTTTGGTGGTTAGATGATGTAGGTCCTTTTTGTTATGTTAATGATCAGATGAAAGATATTCAATCTCCATATTCTAAGGCAAAGGGAGTTTCCACTTCATATTGAGATATTAAAAACATTTGATTTTTCGGTCACTTAATTTTATGGTGATAGTAAAACATTCACTTTCAGTCCATGGAACTTTTTGAATTGGATTCAGTTCAATCCATGGAATTGAACTGAATTTTGCGGAGTATAGAAATAAAAATGGCAATTTCTTTAAATTTAACAAACTGAAAAGAGATTTGTACACACTGAACAACAAAGCCGGTGAGGGGAAACATGTTCATCTTTACCTCAGATGAGTATTTGCACCTATCATCTTTAGCATTTTATGATTACAAAGTTCTCTCAGAAAAGCTACATAAGATTGTAATAGGTTCTGGTTGAATGTATTGAAGATATTATCTTTTGTGACCTGATATATCTTATATTCAATATGAGAAAGTTGTTTGATTGAGGCAGGGAATGGTTATCAAGTCACTGCAACCTCAAATACATTTCATATAAAGTAAAAGAACTTTATCTGTGGTGAGATTCATATATAGAGTTAAACTTTACAACTTCATCTTTCGCTTGTAGCAGACACTCTGATGTCTGACACTACAGTTTTAACTGTGATTTGTATCACTACCATTTCTTAATAATTTTTCTCCTACAATTGTTGACCATATTACAGTTTTTCAAATAAATAAAATAATTATTATTTTTATTGAATGTGTATGAATGTATTGCCTGCATGTATGCAAGTGCATCTGTGGCATGCAATGCCTGTGGAGGTCAGAAAAGGGTGTCACATCCCCTGGGATTGGAGTTACCAATAGTTGTTAGCTGCCGTGTGAGTGTTGAGAACTGAACCTGGGTCCTATACAAGAGCAGTCATTGCTCTTAACCACTGCACCATCTCTTCAGCCCCAAATGAATTATTTTACCCCAGGTATCATTTACCTTCTTCTTTTTTAAAATTTCTAACTTTGGGTTTATTAAAAAATTTGAGATAATTTTATTTGGTTATTCACTTGTTTGGATGTATGATTTGCTCTAGTATATTTAGAAAACTTTTTGTAAATATCACACAAATGCACACACATGCACACACACAAACACACATCTATATATAATGCATGTATTTTATTTGGGGTTTACAGCATTGTATTCTAAAGTATCATTTGTAAACAGTATACAAATAAATGAAAGGTCATATAAAAATTTCAATCTTTACTGTTTTTAACATGTGTTATTACTTTGTCCAAAGGCAATCATGAGTTTTTATTGTATAAAATCAATCCACTGACTTATTTTTCTCCCAGTCTTTTCAAATTTCTAGACATTTTTCCAGGGTGTTCCACAGAAAAATGAATCTTTTTTGTTTTTAAAAGATTTATTATTATTTTTATTTATGTGTATGTGTGCAAATCTGTGTGTGGTTATGTGCACATCTGGTACCTGTGGAGAACAGGTGTCAGATCCTGCTTGAACTGGAGTTACAGGTGGTGGTGAGCTGTCTGATATGGGTGCTGGGTACCTGAATTCTCTGCAGTGAATCAAATTTGTTACATTTAAATAAGTATATTTCAGTTGCAAGAAAAGTGGCCAAAATGGAACTGCAATATTTTTGCTAAATTAACAAATGTAAGTAAGATTAAAATAGAATTAAAAGTATGAGTAATAGAAGACAAGCAAGGCAGCACAAGGGCAGGCAGCTTTCCCAGTTTTACTCATGGGAATGGGAGTGGGGTGGATAATAGGGAAATTTGCATGTATTATATCATAATTTACATATTCTCTATTTCTTCAGCATTTTATCAATATAAAGGAGAAAGTTCTTGCATACAAAAAAACTTATACACATGTAAATAGCAATCTTTAAAGTAAATACATTCATGGTTATGTATAAAAATATTTTATCACTCCAGAGAAGGAAATAAGAGACTCCCAAGTACACTCCTTGACAGAGCTTCATAATGAGGCCCTATCTCAAAAATTAATCATATGTTGGCTATTAGCATTAACAAGGCTACAAGGCTGATTCTCAACTCCAAATAAATGCACACAAACACACACATGCACACAGACACACACATTCAATGATTTCTGCCAATTATTTCCTGATATCATAAAAGCACTGACACCTTTAATTATGCATCATCTTTCCAAATATCATTCCAAGGATATTATAGCTTTAAATATGGGCACTGAAGTTTAATATATTATTTTTGCAAACTATCCTTTGTATACATGAAACATTACGGCCTATGTTAAATGCTGTATTTATAGAAATATATCTGCCTTTTTGTCTAATCATGGAAAGACAATATCATCTGTTGTAATTTTTGTTTGCATATCTTTTTAATATTTACAAGTGTGTTAACATTTTCAGCTTTAATACATATGGATGTAAAGATTTTAGAGACCATACTTTAAATAAATGACTTATGTGCATTTTCAGAATTTGGCATTATGAAAGCTTTAGTATGTAATTAGAATACCTATTTCATGATCCTAGATGTATTAATTGTCAATACTTGAACATGATTATGAAAAACAAGTAGAAAAATTATTGCATAAATTATTCATAATTTAATTGCCAAATACAAAAAAAACTGAATATTTTCTAAATTTTTGTTTTATATATTTATACCTATCAACATTTGGTTCTCCCTGTCATCAGGTATTGCACTCTATAATCAATCTGCCTATCACATCTATCATCTATCATCTATCATCTATCTATCTACCTATCTATCTATCTATCTATCTATCTATCTATCTATCATCTATCATCTATATATCTATCATCTATCCATCCAGCCGTCATATCTGTCATCTATTTATCCTCTTTCTATCTTCTCTTTCATCTATCTATCGTCTATCTCCTTCCTTCCTCCATTCCTTTCTTTCCCTTCTCCCTCTTTCCTTCTTCCACTTTCCTTCCTTCCTTTCTTCCTTCCTCTTGCTTTCCTTGATTTCATTGTTAAATTATTTTTTAAATTTTTTATGTGTGTGAGTGTATTGCCTGCATGTATGTGAGTGCACCTGTGTAGTGCAATCTGCGGAGATCGGTATAGAGCTTCGGATTCCCCTGGAACTGGAGTTAAGGACGGTTTGTATTCACCACGTGGGTGCTGGGAATTGAACCTGGGTCCTCTGCAAGAGCAGTCAGTGCTTTTAACTGCCGAGCCATCCCTCCAGCCCCTGTTTAGTTGTTTCTTAACTAAAGAAGAAATTCACTAATGTGCATATTTCTTGTACTGGAAACAGTACAATACATTGTGAACAAGCTTACTAGCTTTTACCCATTCATTGCCAGTAGCAATTAATTTCCAACTCTTGAGGCATTAAATATCTCTATAGACAGAATAATAATTTTGAATTATAAAATTAGCATATGAGAATCACAGCTCTATTTTGTTCCTATATCTTTTATAATTCCTGTATGCAAATTAATGTGTATTTGCTTTCAAGTATTCTTTATTAGAACATTTCAACATATCTGTTTACAATAGAACTGCCTATACTTGTCCTCCAGGTGAGAAAACCAGATCAGTATTGACCCGAGAATTGTTTCTACACAGAACTGATCCTGCAATATGTCTACATGGAGAAACAGAATCGCGCAATGGTGACTGAATTCATTCTGAAAGGCATCACTGACCGCCCTGAGCTGCAGGCCCCATTATTCGGGTTGCTCCTTGTCATCTATCTGATCTCAGCAGTGGGAAATTTGGGCATCATCATCCTCACCAACACAGACTCCGGGCTGCAAACGCCAATGTATTTTTTTTTTTTTCTCAGACACCTGGTTGTCACTGATCTTGCCTATTCAACACCAGTGGGCCCCAAAATGTTAGGAAATTTTGTTGCAGAACAAAATACAATCCCTTATCATCTTTGTGCTGTGCAGCTCACTTCCTTCCTTCTTTTCATTACTTGTGAACTTTTTATTCTGTCTGCAATGTCCTATGACCACTATGTGGCCATCTGTAACCTTCTGCTCTACACTGTCATCATGTCACAAAGGGTATTCTGGGCACTGGTGGCAATTCCATATGTTTACAGTATATTTATGTGTCTAATAGTCACCCTGAAGATTTTCATTTTATCCTTCTGTGGATACAACACCATCAAACATTTCTTCTGTGACTGTATTCCCTTGATATCTTTGCTCTGTTCAAATACACATGAAGTTGAATTGATAATTAGATTCTTTGCAACTTTTGATTTGATTTCTTCACTTCTGGTCATCCTTGTGTCCCACTTGCTCATCCTCATAGACATTCTCAGGATGAACTCTGTTGAGAGCAGGAGGAAGGCTTTTTCTACCTGTGGGTCCCACCTCACAGTGGTCACAGTCTTCTATGGGACTTTGATATTTATGTATGTGCAGCCTAAGTCAAGCCACTCCTTTGACACTGATAGAGTGTCTTCCATATTTTACACACTGATCATCCCGATGTTGAATCCCTTGATCTACAGCTTGATGAATAAAGATGAAAAAATGCCTTAGAAAGAACCCTGAAAAAGATAACCACTACCTTTTCTTAAAAGTTCTTTAAAATCTTAGTGATAACAGTTTGCTTTCAATGTAAACCAGCTTTGATTTCTTTCAAAATGTTTAGCAAACTTGAATAGGTTCAATAAATAATTATCAAATTGCATTCCTGGATTCCTGGTACTGATCTATCTTAATTTACTCTACTTAGTAAAGAGAATAGCAAAGTCTTTGTTTTCCATCAGGAATGGAGAACTGAAATAATAGTAAATGCAGACAGTTGGTAGGAAGTAGCCTGGATTGAGGGGCAGTAGACCATAAACATGTGTTGCAACACTCTATGCTGCATGCAGCCATTTAAACTTGGCTCCTTACTGCCTACTTTGCTGAATCATGACTTTCCTGGACCCTCTAAAGTCTAAGAATGTATGTTTGTTTAAAAGTCAGATTGTATTTATATTTATGTTATTATTTCATAAGATATTTCTTAGTAATGAAGTAGGTCTGTGCCTTTTCTAATCTGACACATCATGCTAGGTCCATGGACAGCACACTATCTTTTCATTAGTATCTGTCATTTGACTTTACTCTCTTGAGAACTGAACTTGGATGGTGCTAACAGAAACAAGCCCATGTTTTGTACTATGCTATGTCTGCAAGGAGTGGGATGTGCTATATATTTATGTGCACACTTGCCACACCTGCACATTCAGCATCTGTAAATCTCTGTATAAATTTCATGTTACCTCACAATTTCTAATGTTTAAACTTTTAGCATTTTATTTCCTTTATAGTAGTATTAATATCTTTCTTTAGTACACCACCATTTAATAAAATCTTTTCTTATCAAATAAAATTTAAAGCAATGATTTATAGGAGTAAGGAAAACATTTTCTTTATTCTTGAGAAGTCAATAAATATATTCAATGAAATATGATGTCTACTTTGCTATGTTCCCTCATAATTCTCTCCATATGCCCCCCTCAAAACATTCCTGCATCATTTCATGTCTTTTTCTTAAATGGCCCACCTAAAGGGCCATTTCACTGGAGCATTAGAAAATTTTCCAAAAGGGAATAATTTCCCTTCTTTAGAAACTATCTGCCAATAATTATTAAAAAAAGGGGTGGAGGCATTATATATGTGAAAATGTAGCAAAGATATATGATGATGAATCTTAAAACATGTACAAAAGTTATATTCAATCCTAATTCCAGTAAGTAATTTATATTTGAGTTCACACTGAAAATAGTAATGTTATTGCCATACTAAGGAACCAGAAAATAGGATCTGGAGAGAAGACTCAGTGGTTAATAGCACTGACTGCTCTTGCAGAGGACCTATTTTTCTTCAGGTGTGTGTGTGTGTGTGTGTGTGTGTGTGTGTGTGTGTGTGTGTGTGTGTCTTTCTTGTTTAGTTTGGTTTGGTTTCATTTTCCAATACACACTTGGTTGCTAACAAACACCCTTAACTCCAGGTCTGACGATCCAACACCTGGTTCTTTGAAAAGATAAAAAGATTGACAGACCACTAGCCCAGTTAACCAAAAGAAAGAAAGAGCACCTCCAAATCAACAAAATCAGAGATTAAAGTCTTTATGATTTTTTACATGAACATAGCTAATTGAGTATTGACTTTTTTATTCATCATCCATAAATATTCTACTTGGTAATACAATAAACATTTATAAACAAAATATAAGGCATTAGAGTTGTCCTCAGTGACAAACCGCATAATAAAATTATGCATTTCTGGAATCAAATGATAAGCCTAAAATCCATATAAAATACTACAGGTATATATTTATAAACAATACAATCAAAATATCCTGTCACTTATGTAGATAATAATTATAATCTGAAAATGTTAAATGTTAATGAAAATTTCAAAGCAAAACATAGGAATTCATAAAATTACAAGAACTTTGAAGTATAGGACCAATACACAATGGTAAAGTGATAGAATACAGGAAACATTCTCATTCTACTACTGAATATACAAGTTCAAGGTACATTAGCAAACAGTCAACTAATATATTTCTATATACTTCAAGATCCAGGAGCTAGTTATATCTAAACATTACCAATATATTTCTATGAGTACAATGTTAGCTACAGTGGAAAATAAAATATTATAAGCATTATTGAACAAATTCAGAAAAGTTGCAGGGATAAACATTCAACACACAAAATTCAGTACCTTACCTGCATGTCAATATTCAGTTCTTTTAAATGGAAAGTAAGAAAGCAATTCCATTTACCATAGTGACAAGAAAATAATATTCATAAGAAAAAAATTAAGTAAAATTGTAAAAAGTCTTTACAATAAAAACAGCAAAACAATTATATAAGAAAGTCAGGTAATGCTAAAAATAAAACTGAATCCAATATTCATGGAGAGGAAGAATTGACATTTTAAATGGTACATGTCATAATAGTGTTCAGCAAATTAAATGTAACTCCCATACCACCTTCAAATACAGGGTTCACAGACATAAAAAACATGCAAAATAAATCTGAATCCACAAATTTAAAAAAGCAAAGAGCAAAAGTCATCTTGATCCAAAAGAGATAAAGAAAATCCAGTACATTGCCTAATAAAAGAAAATACTACAAAGTTACAATAATCAAAATGCATGGATATATAATCAAAACAGATATCAGAAAAACTAGAAAATAACCTATAGTGAAGCTATCAAGCCCTTCACCTATACTACTGATGTCAAATAACAATTCCCAGACACTACATTGCAAACTATATTGCTAAATATTTCCAACAAACCCTGTGCAGTAAATTGAATGTCTACATTTATGCAAATGAAAGTAGACTTCTGTCTCTTATTATTTGTGAAAGTGAGCAGAGAATGGATTAAGATACAAGCAGAACACATGAAACTCATTAATGATGCGGAAAATGCTTCAGAACCTTGAAAAAAGCAAAAAGTTCTTTTTTTTTTTTTTTTTTTTTTTTTTTAAATGATGTGAAGAGGTCTCGGTCCTTTTAATAAGAAGATGCTATACAGCAGTCCCTTTTGCATGAAATAACTACCATGACCACGACTTTAGCTGAGCCTGATTGATAAACATAGTCACAATTGGGCTTCTTGACGGTTGTGCTCATTTATTAAAAAAGTGCCAAGCAGGGTCACTGAATCCTCACCTGAGTATCCAGCCTCTTCCAAGACAACTAGTTCAGCCTTGAAAGACAAAAGAAAAATGAGGAAGGACCCAATAGAGGAATGCTTTTGGGAGCCCTTGTCAAGGAATTCCAATGGACTTTCATATGAACATTTGAAATTTTCCCTGTTCTGACTTTTTTCTAGTTCCTGTATAGACCTTGTAATGCTAATTACTCTTGCCTTTACTTCTTCACATCGCCCATTCGTGATTCAAGGACTTTCTTCTTCCCTTAGAGACAAGAGTTATGCAATTTGGAAGTCTTTTAGATAGACCCACTGAAGGGGTAATTTTCAATTGCTTCACCTTGCGTCCCTGTTCATCACGGAAGAAGCCAGAGCAGCCGACGTCCCTATTTCCTATTGGCAATTTGGGTAACCCCTTCAGAGGATGGTGATAAGAATAGGAAGTAGGAATTGGCTAGGCAGTTAGGGTAAAAAGACCCCAAAGAAATGTATCCATTTTCTTGGCTAAAAGTCAAAATGTCCTTGGGCCTGTTAACAACATACTCTTTTCTAAAGGCCAAAAATGTCAAAAGTATTTGGGAGCTTGTATCTAATTCTTAAAGATTGTAAGGTTACCTCTTCAGAGGGGGCAATGTTGGAGAGGAGGGAGTGGGCATCCATTTGATCAAAACACCTTAAATACATGTATGAAATCCTCAATAAAGTTTTTGTAAAAATTTAAAAAATAATGTATTCAAAGTAAAAAAAAAAAAGAAAAAAAATGACAGGAGGGGTGCTTTTATAGAGGACTTGGGTTCAGTTTCCAGCACCCAAATGATGGCTCACAACCACCTGTAACTCCAGTTTCAGGGGGATCTGACAGCCTCTTCTGACCTCTGTGGGCATTGCACGATACGGGTACACTTACCTACATGCAGGCAATACATGCATACACATAAAATAAAAATAATAAATAAAATATTTTTAAAGTAACATGACATCAAACAGTAAACATTAACCCAAAAATGCCAATTGGAGTCCAGCAAACTAAATAAGTCATACTGAATAAAAGAATCAATTTGCAGAGTGAAATGTAAACCTGCTGAGTGGGCAAAACTATTCGTTGTCTATATATTTTACAAATAGTTAATTCCCAGAATATACAAAGAAGTTACAAAAATGCACTGAACAGAAAACAACTTGATTAGTCACCAGTATATGTAGACAGATATTTTCATAATAACACACGTAGATTGAGAAAGTATTCATTTAAGAATGCATGGCACCACTAATATTTATCCAAATGACATATACTCCACAGTGAATAATGCATCTCATATTTATCTATTTTTAAGCTTATTCATGTGAATGTGTGAGTGACTTAATTGATTTATGTGCACTAAATTGGTTTAAGACCTCACAGGGGCCAGAAGGGGACATAAAATCCACTGGAACTGGTTGGAATTATAAGTGATACAAGCTAACATGCTTTCTGGGAGCGAAGTCCTGGTCCTCTGCAAGACCATCCAGTGCTCTTAACCGCTGAGCCTCCTTTCCAGCCCCAGACTTCCCAATATGTAGAATGATTATTATCAAAATGACTAACAAGAACTCTCTCAAGAAAAGAACACTTAATCACTGTTTTGGAATGTAAAATTGTAAAAACACCATGGAAGTTGAAATGGGACTTATTCATGAAATTGAAAATAGACCTACCACTTGATCACATTATCTCACAGTGGGGCATGCATTAAATAAAATAATATCAAGGTGGCTTTTGCCTTTCCATGATCATTACAACTTAGTTAAAAGCAGACATGAATTAACTGCCAGTAAATTTTCCATCAACTATAAGTGTATAAAGATAATGTGGACATATACACAAGGGAAATACTCATATTTCTTGCTATTATTTTTTCAACTTTCAAAGTATTTCTACTCACAGTGGATAATGCCTACTATGAAGTCATCTATAACTTCCTGTAACCGGCTTATTGAATTTAGCATCCTGATGGGGTTCATCATGGTAGTACATATTGAAGAATGCATTCTTAAGGCTGGATACTACTTCAGTGCTTGGATGTAACACACTTTATGCATCCATTCATTCATCAATGGCTTTTTAAGTTCTTTTTACATCCTGTGTATGTGGAATTCTGCTACAATGAATGTTGTGACTATCTCTTAGATATCCTGATATAAATATTTTTGCAAAAAACTTAGAAATCATTTTGCTGTTTCCTATAATAATTTAATAAATTCACAATGAAATATAAACTTACTTATAATTAGTGGACATTCTCCAGACATTCATTCCAACCATGTGTTAATAAACAGAGTACTTGGAAAGTCCTGAGGGAGGGTCCCTGAAGTTTAAAGGAACCCTCATAAATTGCCTCTCAACACTAGATGTTAAGATATGCAGGGGAGAATCAGGAAGGAAGGCTCATTACAGGTAAAAGAGGCAGAAGGCTTTATGTTATGAGTCTGCCCAGTAAGGTCACATTTTGCTCTGACTTTTTCATCAAATGTCAGTATCCATTTCTTTTTTAGTTCCTGTGTTTTCTCCTACTCCCTGGTGGCTGAACAAGAGAACTCCTCTTGCTTCTTCCTACTCAGTTCTTAATGTGATTTTATCAAGCTAGAGAGAAGTTTATGTACTTTTCATATGTGCTTAAAATGTTTTGTTTTGAATATAAATAATTTACTATCTGGTTGGTGGATGGGAGGGGTTGAAGTGTACATACCACAGCATGTATGGTACAGTGCTTGGCTATCACATGCAAGACCCTGGGTTTGACCCTCAGTACCACAAATCCATATAAAAATAAAATGTATATATTTGAGAAGGATTCATGATATTGTTTGAATATTGGATTATTAAATCAACCTTATCAGAGCACTACAAGGTCATCTTTAGAATTATTCAGATGCATAGCTTAGGGTTAAAGGACATTAAACCTAGGCTTCAAAGATGGATTTGTATGCATTTTTGGAATTTGTCATTAGAAAACACTTAATTGGTATAAGTATATTGATATTATTGCTACTAATTACAATTATTTAAAAGAAAATAGAAAACAACTGCAACAAAAATGAAAATTTTAATAATACTTTAATTATTTTCATTTTAATGTTATACATCTCTCTATGGACTTTATCTGTCAAATAGCTTCTACCTATCTACTTCTCTACCTATCATCGATCTACCTATCTTATTCACCATCTATCTATTGTCTATTTGACACAGAACTAATAGAATTTTTTGATAGTATTCAAAGGTTCTTGATATGGGTAATTTTTGGAACTGCATTTTGTATAAAGTAAGTTGTTCAACAGATTAATTGACCTAACAACCCAAAGGACCCTGCAATCCCTCTCTAACATTGAACAATATAAAGGTCATTTTGTATTCTGTAATATTTTTCTACAATATATCCATAAGTGAGAACCACACAAAAATGCTGCTTATACTTATATATTCACAGAAATAAATGTCTTTATATGAATACATTAGGAATCATAAAATTTAGATGTTTCATATGTGTAATATGTTTGCGCAATAAATTCTCTCATGAAACAATGACATTATCATTTAGTATTCTGTTGTCTCTATTGAGAACAGGTTTTCTGATAAGCAGAATGGAGAAACACAACCTCACAGTGGTGACTGAATTCATCCTGCTGGGCATCACTGACCGTGCTGAGCTGTATGCTCTATTATTTGGACTGTTCCTCATCATCTATCTGATCTCAGTAGTTGGCAATGTGGGCATCATCATCCTCACCAACATAGATCCCAAGTTACATACACCCATGTACTTCTTCCTCAGACACTTGGCTTTTACTGATTTTGTTTATTCAACAACTGTGGGGCCAAAGATGCTAGTAAATTTTGTAGAGGATCAAAATGTAATTTCCTTTAAACTTTGTGCTACACAGCTAGCCTTCTTCCTTCTGTTCATTGGCAGTGAACTTTTTATTCTGTCTGCCATGTCCTATGACCGCTATGTGGCCATCTGTAACCCTCTGCTCTACACTGTCATCATGTCACAAAGGGTATGCTGGGCACTAGTCACAATGACCTATCTCTACTGTACATTTATGTCTCTTGTAGTCACGATAAATATTTTCTCCTTATCTTTCTGTGGCTACAATGTCATCAATCACTTCTTCTGTGACTGTATACCCCTAATATCTCTCCTCTGCTCAAATACACACCAAGTTGAACTGATCATTATGATCTTTGCAGCTTTTGATTTGATTTCTTCTCTTCTGGTTGTCCTTGTGTCCTACCTGCTCATCCTCATAGCCATTCTCAGGATGAACTCTGCTGAGGGCAGGCGCAAGGCTTTCTCCACCTGTGGGTCCCACCTCACAGTGGTCACAGTCTTCTATGGTACCTTGATATTTATGTACGTGCAACCTGAGTCTAGTCATTCCATTGATACTGACAAAATATCCTCCATATTTTATACCTTGATCATTCCCATGTTGAATCCATTGATTTATAGCTTGAGGAACAAAGATGTAAAAGATGCTCTACAACGAACATGGCAAAAATTATACAATATATTCTCCTAAAAGTCACATAAAATGTTGCATACAATATGAATCCATCAAAATATGTTTGAATGTGAATTGATTCTGTTTTCCTCCATTATGTACTATAGGCACTGATGTGTTTAACATGTATTTAACTCCCTCAATTATTGATAGTAATTTAATTCTCATATCTTGCAGTCACTTTAGTGAAGAATGATTTTGTTAGCCTTGACAGATATTTTGTAAACACAATAGTCAGTGTCAATTGCAAAATAGCAGCAACTATAGATTTTGTAAACTTGAAGACAGCACTACAGAGTCACAGATTTTAAGAGTGAAAAAGAAAAGTATGTATAAAAGAGGACACTAAAAATTTCTCTGTGCCATGGGGCCACTATTAAACAGACTTCCTAGGATCAATTTGATATTTTATGTGCCTTTCTGTTTTTATGCAGTTACAGTGTCTTTTGTTTTAGGCTACATCAATTTCTGTATATTTCCCAAGAATATTTTTATTTTTTAATTTTCATTTTTAAGGTAGGATACATACCACAGCATGTATGTGGAGGTCAAAGACAACGTGTGAGCATTGATACTCTCTTTCCATCATTGTAGGTTCGGAAAACGGGTGCTTTAAGGGAGACAGCAAGTGCCTTTATCACTGAACCTTCTCACCTGCCCCTCAGTAAATTCCCGTAAAACTCATACTTGATTGTGGTACAAGGAGCCTGACTGTGGTACAGTATTTTGAAGCAGGCTAGCATAGAATGTACTTGAATACCACTATTCCCATAATGATTTTGCAACCATCCATCTTTTATCTCATCAAATCGGTGTACCCTCTGATATATGAGTCTATCAACTGGACACTTTTGGCTATTCTTTGAAACAAAGCTTCACTGCATCTAAATTTGTCAAATTGAAAGGTATAGTTTGCATATAATTTGTGTACACATCAATTAAGATAATTTTCCTTACTAAAGATCTTCCATGAAACAAGTTTTGTTTTGCTCTTGCTTTGATTCTCCCTGTCATGAACATGATTCTTTGTTGCCTGTTGTATCTAATAGATATTTTCTCTTTTCATTCATCCCAATGCAAAGAATCATTCTCTAAAGTAACAGCTTGTTTGTTAGTTTATTCTCACAGGAAATGCTACTGTGCTAAAATAGGTTTGTTTCATTTCTTTCTTGGAGATGACTTTCCTCATAATACTTCCATAGACAGTGCACTGAATTTGCATTCAATCTTTTGCTTGACTTTCCTTATTTGATAATTAAACTTGGAGTAATCCACCAGAGACAATTCCATGATTTGAAATATGCTGTTTTATTCATGAATATTGTACTAATTTGTAATTATTTTTATCATTGCACTGTCTTCTGGACATTTTGCCTCTATAGCTTTCACTATTTTTTTCCATTATTGTGAATAATATTTTTCCATGGTTTTTAATATTTAAAATTCTGGCACTGTAATTTCTTCATGGAAAGTCAGATGTTTTACTTAAGATACATCATTTAATTAAATTATCCCCTAGGTAATCAAATATGAAGAAGTCATTCACTGGAATAATGATAGTCTATGTACATTTTCATATAATGTAAACAGTTCTCAAGAGTTTATATGGTTGATTTTTTATTTTTAAATGGCATTGCAGAGGTAATTGTTACTCATTTGTTTATTCAAATGTATATGTAAGAAAATATGTTAAGTTTCTAGAAAGTCTATTCACAGCTGCAATATCATATATTAATGTTAAGATTTAGCAGTTAGGCAATTTTTAAAAAAGCTTACATTAATATATTTTTAACTTATTTTGTATGTTTACCAAATTGACTTTTACATAAGTATAACTTCTGAGAGGTTTTGTACTCTTTATTTCATAGGGTTATATGTTGAACTTCCCTCATTTTCACTAACTATTCCCCTAGCTCATCCCCCTTCCTCTCCCACCGATCCCTTCCCCTTAGCAAGCCTTCTACTTTCTTGTCTTCTTTTTGTGTTCTGAGGTTAATAAGAGGTACTTGTCCATGTGTGAGAGGCAGCTTTTTTAATGGAGCAAGGTCAACTTATTTGTGACTACACTGCTGAAGAAAATGGCACTCTCTTCCTCAACAACATTAAACCACCTATAATCCCTCAGGAAGAGTGATGTCTCATGGTCCCTCCCCTATGCATGTTGATAGGTTGAATGGCTGACTCTGGTGCAGGTCTTCTGCAGATAATCATAGTTTCAGAGCTATGCCATGTCAAGAAGACATGTATTTGCTCCATATCTTCTTTTTCAAGATATTTTAAAAATTTTATGTGAATGAGTATTTTGCCCACATGTACGTAAGTGAACCATGGAGTGTAGAGTGCCCTCAGAGGCTGAAGGACTTTGGATTCCCTGGATCTGGAGTTACGGACAGTTATTAGCTGCCATGTGGGTGTTGAAAACTGAACCTTGGTGACTACTTAAGTTTAAGATCAGCCTGAGCTATATGAGACAATGTCTCAAAAATAAAGTTGACAGATGATCATAGAGATCATGACTGCACAAAGCATTCCAGATCTGTATATACTGAGAAAGATTCTCAGTTGAATTACTTCCATGATGCACTC